TAGTCAACATACTCATCACGCTAAAATCTCACCAAATGCGTGCTAATTAGTTTTTCCAATCTCAAACGAAAAAAATTTCTTTTTTTTAAAGCCATCGAACAACTAATGTGAAAGTAACGGATAAAAAAGTTTTGGTTCAAATTAGGATTGTAAACGAGTAGAGTCGAGCTCGAGTCACTCCTGATTTAGGCTTGAGCTTAATTAATTAATCGAGTTTGAGCTTGGGTTCAAGCTTGTTATACGAGTTTGAGGGCTTGTTTGGAATGAAAGAGAAAAAACGATTATTATTCAAATAATTATTATAATAAAATGAGATGTAGTTTTTAAATATTTTTAACAATTTGATTCTTAAATTTTTTTTTTAAAAAAAAGTTAATATATTTTAAGTATTTTTTTATTAATATATATTAAATTAGTCTGACTCACGAATTAATGAGACGAGTTAGGGCTTGTTCAAGCAACTTGACTCTTTAGCTCATCAAGTTTTGCTCAAGAACTATTTATCACATCTAGCCCAACCAGCTCACAAGTCAGCTTAACTCATTTACACCCCTAATTCACTTTTTTTAATTATAATATTAATATATTTAAATTAAATATAAATTAATTTTCTGTATAATTTTTAAATTTATAATTAATCTTGTGCCAGTTTTTTATTTTAATTTTATATTTTTAATTGATGAAATATTTAAATAAAATTCTATGATTTAAATAAAAACTTATAATGCAACGCATTTGCCGGCAATGTCGATGCAACAGTTTAGGTCTATCTTTATCAACTACCAGTTGCTCAATTGGTCAGCGCTCATACATCAGCAAAGTTACTATTTGGATGTAGACAATTAATAGAAATAGTATTTTTATGAACAAATTTTATTTTTGATTGAATTCTACTAAGAAATAGAAAGTTTAAAAATTTATAATTCTCATTGCACTGGTTCCGATTAAATTAAAATTTTAGTTAATTTTAAAAGCAAAATAAAGTAAGTTAGAAAAACTAGAAAGAGATTTAGGCTTCCTTTGGGACGACTTTCTTACTGTTTCTTAAACGGGCCTTTAGTACAAAAAAATTAATTTTTATATTAAAAAGTTGTTTTAAGAAGCATTAAGAAAACTATCATAAACAAAGCCTTATTAGAAAGCAATTTTGATTAGAGCAAGCAACAAATATCATTTGGATAAAGAGGGGTAGTGAATTGAAGGAATGAGAAATTTTTATAGCCTTTGAAGTTGTAAAATCTCTTGTTATTGCATACATACCTAAATTCTTTTTTAATTTGCCTTTAGAGCACTACCTCCTATATTTTGCGATTGATGACTTCCTGCGAGAGGAGAGTTCGCTTCCATTTTATATTCTTAGACGTTCAAGTTGTGTTGCTTTTGAACAAGTGGTTGATAATTTGAAAGATGTTCACTTTTATGAGTAGATAATGAGTTTGCAACCCAATTTTCCGTGCATTTTGCCTTTTTAGCGATCACATTAGAAAAGTATACTAATGATGATTATATGTTAAATGTGTGCACTACTGCTTGAATGGGACATTTTATTCTTGCTTGCAATAGAAGCTTCATTGGTTCTTTTTTTTCGTGAAGGTGTCACTTATTCCGATTATCCTCTATAAAGCTTTTGGAGTCTGCATATATTCCAATTGATCTTTGGTTCCTATCATATGATGAGTCATGTGGTAACTCTTTGATTTTCTTAATTAGGTATAGTTTGTGTTAGCATCCTCCTTTGCCTCATATCATAAGGGAAAAATTTTCAAATATGTCAACTGAAAACAAGGCTCCCTCTTATAGTGGCTCATTTGATTAACTCAATGAGATAGGAGAAATTGTCCATAAGGAGCCATTAGAGAGTGTTTTGCTTGTTTTAAATTGCTTGAAAAGTGAACAGAGATTAGATTCTAATCAATCACTTAATAATATGTGTCTAACAATTACCAAAAAATATGTCTGACTAGCGATACTTGAATACTAGCTTTGGGCAAGTGCTCATTAGTAGTACATGGATAGAATAAGTACACAACGAATAAGTGTAGATTAGGCTAATCATGAACGAGTTCGATTAATCTTTTTTTTGTTATAAAATTAAATCATTGACTCTATTATGATCTAAATAAAAAATGCAAAGTTAGTTCTATTGAACAACATCTCTTCTCTCCCACTTCATGCCTCAGAATGTGCTATTCTCATCCACCGGTTCAGTAGTCAGTCATTGCCTAACTTATATTACTCTAACTAAATTCTATCTTTCTCATTCAAATATACTACTCCCTTGCATTCTTTGTACACCAATTTTATTAAAAATTATTTGAGAAGTACTTACCCTCTCATCTTCATTCCCTCATGCGTAAGTCAATTCTGTAATAAATATTTGGTTATCTTCCGTTGACAATTTGAAATCCAACGGCACGCAACTATACTCGAAAAGAGTATTAATTAAATCGGAAATTAATCATAAGATGCTTTGCCCATCATATTTCTTGGAGCTCAAGTTAATCACGTGAAATGATGAAATGGAACATAATAACTTGCTTTCCCCATTAATAGAGCCCTACCCACCACCACCGCATGCATCTACCGTTGATGAGGACACCGCACTGTCGCAATGCCTTAGGAGACACTCAATGCCTTACGCAACTAATTTCGCACTTCGGCCTCTGAGATAGCCGATAGCAGGTGAGGATTTGGTTTATCTTCCTCTTAATTTTATTCCTCTTTGACTTCGGTAAAGATTTTTGGTATGATTTATGGATATTGATAAAGCAAGGAATCTATATCGGAAGGAGAACATTAGTTATTTCTCCGACTATATTTATTATAAGCACAAGAGATTGAACACGTTCTCCGAACTTTATAATTGTGTCTTTTCTTATTTTGAGAAAGAGCAAATTTCTATAGTTTCTAATACATTACTCATTTTTTGCCATGCCCTGAAATCTATAATAAAAGATTTGTTTTTCCTTTTTTTTTTCGCTCTTTATTATCTTAACAGTTCATTTTATTTATTAATCAATCATTGAAATCAGGTCAATATTCATAGCTGATTAATTACATTACAGAGAATCAACAAACACCAGAAAACATAATTCACATTTTTATAGTCCAAAATTACATCATAATAGAAGAATAAAACAATAGATAAAATAGTCACTCCGACTACAAAAGAATACATAAACTAAATAACTGAAATAAAATTACACTAGCATCACTACATATATAGTCTTAAGCTACAAGGTCTTTATTTGAAATCATTTAAAACACGTAATGATTAAATATTATAGGAAGTAATTAACAAAAATCTTACAATTTAAATCAATGCAAAAAGAAGCAAAATAATATATTGTAAATCATATAAATAAATCTATGCATCAATATATATGCTGGTTATCTGTACTAATTGCTAAATTTATAACATATCACGTCGCAACCCATAGTATCAATAATAGTGATCTGTATCAGTAAAAGTGATCAATATCATTAGGAACAGTAACAGTATTAACAGTAAACAACCTTAGAACAATAAATGTTATAGTATTAGTAATAGTAATGAGTAATCATTCAGTAATCAATATTATATAGTTAATAATCAATAGTTTATCAATTATTTATATTAGGGTATATTGTTTATGCACTTATTACTCCCAATCAATTTCCAGCTCTTTATGACTCTTAGTCGTTGCTATGAAATTGTTGCTCTCAGATGGAATCGTACCTTGAAATCTTTGTATCATTACATTGCATATATCTGATATCAATTAATACCTCCTTATCTATCAAATCAATATCAATACAGTACATCCTTTTCTTTCTGAGTCTAACCAATATTATATTCCAGTACCTATCAATCATTTCAACACGTTGTCTAGTTAAATACATCTAACCAATCACAATACATTGTTTTCACTTCAATTTTAGGGAACATTTTCACACATATTTCAAAGAGAAATTCATATACATAAATTTAGCAGTTGAAAATGCAACAAAATTATATCATATTTTTTAGAATTATCAAATCAATAACATATCAAAAGTTACGTGGTGAAAACTTACGAAATATGGAGATAATGCATTTTATCATATTTAGGAGCGATAAATCTATAAGAATCAAAATCATAGAAAAAAAGAAGTAAAATGATAGTTACTTACAACGACTAGAATCATTTTTATAAAAGGAACGATGGGCGAAAATGCCCTCATAAATATTCTCACTCATCTCTCTCTCTCTCTCTCTCTCTCTCTCTCTCTCTCTTCCTTCGTTTCTTCTTGGCCAAGCCATGCCACTGAGGCGTGAGGGAGGCGGTGGAGTTGATTTAAGGGGAAAAAATATTTTTTAAAAAATATTTTTAGTGGCACAGCGCCGCATCGCTCAGTCCCAATGTCGCAGCGCCACATTCAGAAATTAGATTCGTTGTAGAATAGAGACATTAGTGTTGCACCGGCGGTTTCTGGCATCGCAATGCTCTCAACCGTGGCACAGCACCCTAGCTCACGCATATACATCGCTGAAGCGCTCGAGTTCTATCAACAAACTAAAAAATTCATATTTTTCATTTTAAAAGTTTTTCATTTCTTTAGGCCATTACATTTTTTCAACAGGTTTAGGCAGCATGATTTTTTTCTTTTTTTGAGTTTTTAGTGAAAACACTTAGGTGTCCATTAAATTTTTTTTTAACAAAATCTCACATCATGCCACATAATCTATGTGCACAAATCTCAAAACACATCGAACTATCATAACTTAATATTTTTGGAGTCCTTCAAGATTAAAAAAAATGAACAAGGTCAGTAACATCCCCACCGTCCATTATCAGTACACCATTAATTATTCCAAGTTCGCCCCACATACTCACAAAATGATTCCACATACCCCCTTCTTAATCATAATTAAAAATTAGCGGCCAAATTAATTATAATCAATCCACACTACTTTGTAAACCAAATTTGAAAAACAACTCCACCATTTCAATTTAAATAATTAACCCATCGCCAAACGCCAAGTTCAAATTTTGACAAGACTCGTGACTCATCTTCTTCATCATCCCTTCTCCCTTCTTCCCCTTCCCCTCCATAGTCTTTCTATTTATATATATCAGACAGAGAAGCCTCTCTTCAGCCAAACTCACCGCAGTTCACAACCATGGCTGCAACGAGAAGAAAGGAACTCTCCTCTCTCCCAACCAAAGTGGCTGCTTGCGAGACGGCGACGTGCTATGTTGCGTTGTGCCTTGTCGCGCTCATCCTCGTTAACGTGCTAAACGAGAGCGCGTCGGCGGTTGCCGGAGCGGAAGCCGAGATGGTGCGGGGGCAGAAATTCGGCGGCCGGCGGCGGCCGTGCGACGAGATATATGTGGTGGAGGAAGGGGAGACGCTGCACACCATCAGCGATAAGTGCGGCGACCCCTATATAGTTGAGCAGAACCCTCATATACATGATCCGGATGATGTATATCCTGGCCTTGTTCTGAAGATTACCCCTTCTTATCCCAGTAAGACTACTTAGAGAAATTAGATAGGAAAGAAATTTCTCTGCAATTCTTGATCATCTTTCATTTTTACAGGAGTTGTAAGGTTTAATTTGTGTTCATCACTCCTTGTAATTAATATAGAAATGAATATAAATCTGAATGAAAGATGATTGAAGAAGATAAAGAATTTATGCGAAATTCTGTCCGAAATTACTTGTAAGGTTTTCTGTTGGAGATCGAGGTGAGGTTTGTTCTATGTATTTGCAGTAGAAGTTGTACGTTACAGATACATATATGGATTATCGATCTGGCTTTTTTATGGTTGAATAGGCGCAGCTCTTTATTGATTGCGAATTTTTATTTGCTTTGGGAATAAGACTTAAGATTTCTTTAATTAAGATTTTTTTTTTTTTTTGGAACAATTTGTTGGAGGGATTCAGAAGTTGGTGAGAACATTAGTTGGATTTTTTTTAAGTATAATTTTTTTTTTAAATTAGAAATTTTATATTAAAAATTATTTTAGAAAGTAATAAAAAAGTTCTCTCAACGAAGTCTTAACGCATAGAAATTATTTTTTTATTGATTTCTAAAAATTTTTAGTTTAAAAGTTTTTTTAAACTAAAAAATAATAAAAAAATTATCCTGAACGAAGCCTTTATCTGGTAATTAAAAAGGAAAGGTTTCTTCTAAAATTTTTATATTTATTTAGGGAGGAAAGATATTCTATGGGAATTCAGGAGAAAAAACAAAATCCTATACAATTTTAGTTTCTCTCGAAATTATCAACTGAGTGATAAGATCAAAATATATGCAGCATATTGATGAGAATATTGTGATATAATTTTGTCTTATTCAGATAAATCAAGTGAGGGAGAAGCCGATATGTGCAGTTGATACCATGTATAATAAAATCATATTATTTAAATATGATTCATATTTATTTTTTATTTTTACATTTAAGTCAATTAAGTTAAATTCATAACTTTGAACTCAATATCTTTTAATTAGTAGCTAAAATTTTCAACCGACAATATCAAATTGAATTGCATAATTTTATTTTAAACAGAAAAAATTGATATTCTTATCAAAGTGATAAGGAATATAGTTCCAAATTATTAATTAAAATTTTAATTCTTAGAAAAGCTTTTAGTCCAAGTCTATGATTATAACACATTTACCTTTTTTTTTTGGGAATTTTTTTTTCTGGCTTAAAGATTCTTGTAAAACAACGTAGTCTACTTGCATTAAATTAATTTATAGCCTTTATTGATCATGATCACTAAATTTGCAGATTTTCGTAATATTGGAGACTGATATAACATCAAAATTGCTTTTGATTGGGCACACATCTTGATGCATGATTAAATTGAAAACTTCTAAAATTCAAATTCGATGCGGCATGAATTCAAATTTCAGCAAATTTACGGTTGAACTGAGTGTCTTGATGGGACAAACCAAATGATACAAAAAATAGTTTAATTTGAGTTTGAATGAACCCAAATTGAGCACCTGAAGCAAAATATTAAACTTTGGGAGATTAACTAAACAATTAAATGCTATCTAAATCTTGTATACTTATACTTAAATCGAGCGTCTCGACAAGATGAATCCAACGGGCCTAAGATTACTTAATTTCATTATCATTAAGGTACTTAAATGTTGAAAGAACAGCCTATGATTGAGTGAATCAATACGGGTCATTCGACAGAGTATTCCAGATTTTTTTTTTTTTAATATTTATGGGGCATTCCACTAAAATATATAATTAGATCCCTACTTTGTATATGAAGAAAGGCTTGGATCTTGGCTTGAGAATTTAGAGAACTTAGAGGTCAAAGATTCCTGGAGCTCCACACGTGCATCCCCACTGGACTACCATAAAACACCGATGTCGAACAACCTCCCAAATGTCGTTGTTATATCACTTCTCAATTAATTGCCGTCATTAGACCCAGCTTCACCACTTTCATTCGATCATCATTGTTAAGCTGCTGTCCAACTACAACTCTCTAGAGGTATTAATAAATGACTTAACCTGACAATCTAGCTTGAAATTAACTAAAAAAATCTAAGTTCATGTTGACCAAATTAACTTTTAGGTCGAGTTGGTATTAGAAATCTTGACCGGATTAGTTTTGGAGTCTGGTTCAAGTTAACCTAAAAATTCAAATTTAACTTGAAAATGATCTGATTATAATTCAAGTCTGGGTTAAACAAGTAGAATTTTAGTCAAAGGTCATATTTAGGTAAAATGGGATATATTAATCTAAGAAATTATGAGATCAATATGATAAACATGTCAGGTTTAAGTTAGTTATGTTTGAGTTAAATATTATGGTCCCTATAATAAACGAGTAGGTTGGGATCAAGTTTATTCAGGTTTGATCAATTTTGTGTTAGACCCAAACTTGACCCGCCAACCCAAATTAAAGTTCCCTACCATCCTTCGAACACGGACTCTCAACTACAGTCCTTTGATCATGAATGCCTTAATATGATACTCTTACCACGATCGCCCAAATATAATCCTCCGACCACATTGTGTGACTACGGTTCTTTGACAACGACCACCCTACTATGGTTCATTGATGACTATCAACTGACTACACTCCTCCAATCTCAGTTATCCGACTACAGCCATTTGTCCACTGTTACATGACATCGATTCTCTAAACACTATCGCATGATATTTGTCCTCCGATTATTTTCGCCCTACTATGATCCTCTAAACATCATTCCTTGACTATGGTTATTTAGCCAACGCCATTCAATTATAGTCCTCTGATCATCATTGTCTAACTACACTATGACACATTGACTTTATTACCTGCCATAGCCAATAATATCAACACATGCTATTACGCATAAAATCTATGCACATTATTGACACCAAGTTTTACTTCTGACTTCAGCACCAATATTTATTTTGAAATGAATGGTGAAATTATCATATTGTCATTTGGTTGATTGGAAATAGTTGGCATTTTATATGTTTTAAAATCAACAATATTTTATTTTAATAATGATTTTATTTCATACAAATTAATTGATATGAATTTTTTAAAAATATTTTTTGCTTATAAGCAACAAATCAATCAACCCTTAATCATTATATATTTAAAATATAATTGGGCTACTCTCAGCCAAATGAAGGAGACAACATTGTGCAATGAAGAAGAAAACAAAGAACTCAATCCCGTTTGTGAGTGACTACCACAACGGTCGACATGCTAATGGGTCATGGCCATTGGTCAGCATTTGTTTCTCAAGATATATTAATATTTTATGCATTACTTGTGCTGTAATAATTATAAATTAAAAAAAAAGTGTTATTTGGCTTACTTAGTACAAATTTTGAATAGTATCATAAAACCTTTAGATCAAATTTCTTCTACATTAAGAGGTCATTTGATTTGAAATAAACATGTTTAAAATATTTTTAATATAAGAATTTGATAAATTTTGATATTTGATTTAGAGTGAAAAAAAAAAAAGACCAAACAGCCCCTAAATTTCTATTTCCTCATCCAAATAAAATAAAAAAATTATGAAGGGGCTCATGGTGCAATACCTCATGGATTCTTTTTTTGGCCAACGTGAAATATACATATTTATACTGTACAAGTTAAAAAAAAAAAAAATCCCTGCTCAAATGCCATTTCCACTATGCATGAGGGACCCACACCACAAAAAATAATAATAATAATAAATTTATTTATTTAAAACGAAGAAGAACAAAGGGGAGAGAAGAATTACTCAAATGCAAGCCTTTGGGCACCAACTAATGATGCATAGCCACCCCCCTTAGTCACCAGCTCAGAGTGGGTGCCTAACTCTGCAATCTTACCTTCCGAACAAACAGCAATTTGGTGAGCATTTTGAACGGTGCTTAATCTATGAGCAATCACCAATGAAGTCCTTCCCTTCATTAAGTGATCAAGAGCCTGCTGAACCAGTCGCTCGCTTACTGCATCAAGAGCACTGGTTGCCTACAGCAAAAAAGAAATACTTGAAGAACTCGGCTACAATAATTGTCCTCTTCAAGTTCAGAATTGATAGATATGCACAAAAGCTACCTCATCCAGTATCAAAATAGGAGCATTTTTTAGAAGGGAACGGGCTATGGCTATTCTCTGCAAATCAGAACAATTCAGTGATCCAAGAAAAACCAGTAGAAATATGAATATCTCAATTAAATTTAAGGGGTTTTACATAGGTATCATAAAATTTCTGTGCATCTTTATGTATAAAAATATCAAAAAAATTATATTACTTATATTAACAGGGGAGGAATCAGCCATAATTTTCAGGAGGGCAAACGTGTAAGTAATTATTGGTAGATATGTCGGGGGTCCGACATGCCCCTGCTTATATAATACCTTAGTCAGACAAGTTAATGCTAGTGATATTTTTGTTTGATAAAAAGATTATGGTGTTATCTAAATAAATATAAAAAAATTAAGTGTTAAATATATAAATATATAAGAATAAAATGATATGTGTGTAAATATCCCTTAAATTTATTACCTGCCTCTGCCCACCACTAAGGAGGCCTCCACGCTCACCAACTTGTGTATCATAGCCCTTGACCATATCAACAATATCAGTCTTCCTGTACATATTTTCTCAGTGAAAATAGAAAGGTAGTGAGTAAAATAAGAAGCCAACCTGTGGGAGAGAAATTATGAAATCATGAGCATTGGCAGCTTTGGCTGCCTTTACTATGTCTTCTTTCGAGACGTCCTTGTCAGGGAGTCCATAAGCAATGTTTTCTCCAACCGATACAGTGAAAAGCACTGGTTCCTGAGGCATTATTAGAATGAGTTAGGAAATGGATATGAGACATGACTTGTTATATCAGTACAATGGGTGCATAACTAAAGATGTGATGATGGAAAGTAACCTTCACAGTATTAGAAATATGCAAGACTTCATGCACAGTGAGAAAATGCAGCACTTTACATGCTTTATGTGAGCATAATGATTATGTTAGGAATACAGGAGGATCTTTGAGAGCTCATCTTGAGCTCTTCTTGCAAGAGAGAGAGGGAGAGAGGGAGAGAGGAGAGGAAAGAGAGACAGAATTTAGGAGGAGAAATTTATCTAAAGCTTTATTAATTTCCCCAAACTTTACATCACATAAGCATCCTTTTTATAGAAATTTACAATGGTATGATAACATGTAGGAATAACCTAACTAAAATTAGGTAATTCAGATTAGGTAATTCAGTTTGGCACAAACATCGAGTTAGATTGTCGAATTTTCAGAGGCTGGACTGAAAGATAAAGAAACTAAAATGATTTTACTTGGAAGCCGCAGTGAGCATTAGCATAACATGTGGGCCCTGGAGGAGAAGCATATGCATTAGAAAAATTGATCTGGGATGAACACACTCAATTTCGAAACCTGGGGCATAGAGGCTTCCAATCATATATGAATGATTTGAAATTTGCAAATAACTTCTATAAAGCCATGATCAAAGGTACACCCTATTTTGCCAGCCAATTTGTGAACTCGTACTGTAAGGTCAATTACAATTAGAGAGATTCCTCATCTTACCAGAAAATTTAGAGAGAGACCAATAATGAAGCAACAGGATAAGCAAGTCTTGGAAATTTAATCCAGATTTTTATTGCATCCTTGTAATCCTTCAATTTGCGTGCCCATCAATGTAGCAGAGAAGTGGGATATTCCTGTTGTTTGAATGAGATACACTACCACATGTAATAGGGATGTGAGACCCTTTTGGATCAACCTCCTAAAATAATGGAAGACCAACTCCCTCTGATTTTGGGTGAATCAATCCACACAACCTCGAGCACTTCTTAAAAATAAAAACCCTTTTAATCTCTTCCATAAATACTCATATCATAGTGAAAATTATAATGCCTTAAGTCGAAGCACTCAAATGCAACAAGTGTCAACCATCCATGAGTGTCATCGGCCCATGATGGATTAAGTGCTTCTTTGACTACTAAACTACATGATGAGTTTCCATGGGTGTCATAGGCCCATGATGGATTTGGTACTTCTTTGACAACTAAGTAATTTTATTATCTGTCTCTTTACTTAAGTGAAGAGAAAAAATGATGAATGATGCAGCATAGTAAAAGTGCTCATTGGAGCCATAGCACACAGCATATGGTGCAGAACATGCCATTAAAATGGCACTAAAATCACATTAAAATGAAGAATATATATTAATAATTCAAGAGTTAACTATATGACAAAAAATTAGATGTAGTAAATCCTAAATAGAAAAATAATAATAATGCAAATTCACAAAGATATAGGCAAAAGTAGAGATCTAATTCTCAATCATCCGTATCATCTTCATATTTATCATTATCACTAGCAAAATAAACTTCATCATCACCATATTAATCCTAGCGCAAAGTAAAAACAAATTTATTTTCTTCCACCTTTTCTTTCCAATGGAAGCATCATCCAATTTCTCTAACAATCATTTGTTGGCATTATCAATATCGTTTATAGAAATTAGGTCCTAGTGTCGTGATAGTTGCAGTGTTGGATCAAAGCTCTATTATATTTCACAGACACTAAATTCTTGAAGTGATCATGCTCGAAATTGTTTCTTCTTTTGCTATGGAGCTACAACAAAGTGAATTAATATTATTCTATTAGAAATTCAATCAAATAGCATAAAAATAATTATTTATTTCATGAAGGGGTAAACTTTAAAACGTTTCTCCAATTTAATTCCTCAACTAAACAAAATTCACCCAAAATTGTCCCTTTGGGACTAACTTGGGATCAATTTATACACAATTACAACATTATGGATCATCATAGATCAATTTTATATAGTCAAGGGATTAAATTAGAGAAATGTGATATACTAGGAGCAAATCGGCTACTCGTGAATAATTTGAGAACCATTTTAGAAATTTATGAATTTATGCAGTATTTATGATTAGAAATGCATACATTTTTAATTATGCTAATGCATTGCCATGTGAGGCTAAGAACTTTAATAAAAAAAATTAAATAGAACATATGATCCATAAGTTGGCCATTAACCATACACCCTATGCTATGAGATTCCCATGGACGATACAATCTATGGTTATTGATAAGGATCCTTAAATTAGGTTGGGTGAATTCAATTCTTTAAGTGAATCATAGCTCACAATAGCCCAGGATGATAGAATCATGGGATATTAATCGGATTCATCATCATTCCCCTCACCATCAGCTTTAAGCTAATAATAGTATATTTTTACTTCACCAAAATTTGAATTGTTGCTACCATCTGCTAGGTATTTAGAGCCTACTAAACGAAAACTCTTTCTCATGTCCAAGAGGTGTAAATAATCACAAGGTTTGCACCTATGGAAAACCTTGAACCAGATCATGAAATCCTCGTAAAATGAGCAAAAAAACTCTAGGTAGTAGCTTATTTGGTATCCAATCTACCTTAAAAAAAATTAACTCAGAATCACTCATGTAACGAGCTTGGTGGGAATTTTCAAAATCTACATCCATTAACATAGGGATGCAGTTAGATATCAATTCAAAAAAATTTTGGATAGTGATTTTCCTTTCTTAATTTGTTCTTTTTTGATAGGATGGGTATAGACATAAGCCAAATTCCTACAAGCCCTATCCCAAAAATGAGACAAAGGAAAGCAATCGGCATTCCCCTCTCCCTACGTTAGGTTAATAGCCCAAGCAAAAGCAGTTAGCACAGTTTGTTCATTGCATAATGACAAGCACACAAGTTGTACAGTTACCATGTCAAGGCGGATAGATTTAAGAAGGTAGACGTCAACCATTTGAGCAAATGGTAGCCTGCTTGTGAATGCAAGTTTCGGCAGAACATAAATTGTTGAGGATGTAAGCTCCCTAAAGACTGAATTAGATGGAGCAGGATTTAATAATGGCTCATAAATTGTACCAAGAACATAAACTTGGCTTTGAATTTTGCAAAAATGTAGAAAAAGACATTACTACATGTCTTTTGTTTAAAAGTGCAAAAATGCTTATTTTGAACATCTAAGATCATTAAGCTATGAGACTCCTAAGCTAGTTAAAGATATACTTGATAGGTAAACAATTGGGTCAGGATATCCTGACCCAATTTTGCATCAGGAACCGCCTCATAAATTGACAAATTGAATGAAATACATTATCCGATTGTGTGAAAATCTATGACGTGGCATGGAATATCTAACAAAAATAGTGTATCCTAATTTTTTCTTAATTTGATGTAGATTTTATAGCAAATATTTTCATAAATTTATATTTTGTCTGAAAAATTACTACATGTATTGATTTAATTTTTATTTCATCTTCTTTAACAATCATTTTGATGCTTACATGTCAATAACTTATTTTTTTATGTTTTATCATAGATTTTAGAGCATATATCTTTCATATGCTTGTATTTGCTTTAAATCAAAATCATATGGTTTCACGTCATTTAAATTGATATAAATACTGTGTGACAACTTTTTAAATCAACTTTACAATAATTGAGTTAGGATATCCTGACCTAAGATTTTTCATTAGGATTGCAATTTTTTTCTGATGTTTTCTGCAAAGAGGGAGAGAGAGAGAGTAGAGACAAATTTTATCAAGCTAGAGATCTGCTGCTTTATCTAGGTTTTCCTCCTGGAAAAATATATTTTGTATTTTGAATTAAAAGATATAGTACTTGTTACATGCAGAGAATGAAACTACCTGATTGACAACCGATACAGCTCGAGCCCATTCCCTTTTATCAAATGTCCGAACATCTTCCCCTGCCACTGTTATTCGACCTTTGGTTGGCTGCAAATACAATTTAATACATCTTTTCTTTTTCTGCCTTAAATGATGTTTTGAATTGACAATTACCTCATAAAAACGAGCCAAAAGTTGTACAATAGTACTTTTCCCAGATCCACTAGGGCCAACAAGAGCTGTTACTTCTCCACATTTTATTTTGAGATTTAGGCCATTCAGAACTTCCACATCCGCTCGCAAAGGATAAGAAAAATATACATCTGTTCATCACAACAATGAATTATCAGTTAACAAAAATGAAGCAAATTGAGAAATAATTTGATATTATAGTTGTCAAGGAAATGCAGGATCTCTGATTGTTCAAACACTCTTTTGACAATATTATTGACGCTACACAAGATTGTGGCATTAAAGAAATCTGGACTAGTTTCACAATTAGTGGCTCCTGTTAGAAGGTTGAATTTGCATGCGCTTATCATTCTTGCAAAAATTTTTGTCACAATTTCTCAAGAGGCTTCAGGGGATGCTGAAACCTATGAAAATATCCTAGCAATGCTAAAACCTATGAAAATATCCTAGCAATCTTGGCAATGGAGAGACTAGGGAGCATTCATGTTATGAAACCAAATTAATAATACCATGGTCGTAGCTCTGTCCACTTTTGATATAGTTTGTACACAAAACTTTAAATTAACTTTAGATCCTATTTTAGAATCAATGCTTTACCAAGTTGATAGCCTAAGCCTACTGATTGAGAGTGACCCCCCACATAGTCACAGGGATACATAATCAATGATCTAAGCCAACCTATGGATTTTGCCTGTGATGATCATCCTATTATTGGGGTCATTGTATATACAAACTCTATATCTAAAAGAACTTTCAGACTCAAATTTTGATCAAGGATGCATGTTCCCAATAATTACTGAAATATTGTAGTTGAAGCATAATATGACCCATACGAAATATTGCTGATCTCTATAAGTCTATATATTAGCAATTGTAAGAATAATAAAATCTTGAATCATCAAATAAGCTTGAAATTTTATTATGATCGTCAGCCAAAAACATTTAACTGAACCCGTTACATTATTGCATAGCATATCAAACAGTATGATCAGAAGGTAGTAGAACTAGACCAAGTAGAAATTAATATGGTCTTACTTAATTTATAAAAGAGCTAACCACTTCTTATGCCAAAGCTAACTGAAAGATAAGATGGATTTCCAAAAAATATATAGAAAATACCTTCAAGACAAATGTCACCAGACCAAGCTAGACTGCACCCGTTAGTAACTGATCTCAGATCATACATATAATGTTTATTTTGGGCATTGATTTTAGAAGAATAGTCATCTTTATAAATAAACCAAGGCCTGTCATCTTTCAGATATTCTAATTTAAGTTCCTTCTCTAAACCATAAGCCAGCGGCTCATCAACTTCTGCCGTAGATAGAACAGAATTAATCCGCTCAATGGCAGCGAAGGTTCCACGAAGATGACCTAATGTGTTAACAGCCCCTTGAACCTGACACAAACATGATATCAAAAAAATAAATAACGTTCCTTTAAAGTCTCTTCCATAGGGTGGAAAATAAAGAGAAAGCCTTCCTATTTTCAAAAGTCTTAGGCCTACTATTAGGAGTGTATAATAACTCACAGCAAATGTTAACGTAAATGTGTAGCCAATGAAGGATGTCATGGTACCAACAGACAACTCACCCTGCAAGGAAGAATAAAAAAAATGTATCTTAAAAAAAATGTATCTTGAATTGGTACTGCATAAAGTATGTGCATTTTACTCAATATATATTTCTATAAATCAACCATGTTGCTGATAAAGAAACTTAGCAGAGGGCTGCATATGTAACAAGCCATGCTTCTTTAACTGACAGTAAAAGTTCCTTGTGATCAAGAAAAATATTGGAGCTATTTTTAGTTGGAAAATGGAGGTCCTTACCGTTTTTACTTTGCTTCCACCAAGACAATAAAGCGCCATAAGGGAAATATAAACTACCATCCGAGTTAATGATTCATTTGCTGACTTCAAAGCGCCAAGTTTTAAGCCACTATTCTCGTAAGCAAGTAACTGCATAGATTTATAACATGAATGAAAAAAAAAAGACTCTTCAGATGTTAATCACAAAAAATGTTAAAACCGAGTTAAAAATCAAAATTTGGATACCTATCTGCAAAAAAGTGCATGGATTGAGGAAATGCTGACTTGGAATTTCAATGTGTTGATCTATATAATAGCAAAATGGAACTTTTCTACCTTCCATTTGATTTCAGCGAAACAACTTTTTTTTTTGTTTGCTAAGTAGATATTGATAGAAAACCTGACCAGACTAATTCTCCCAATAATTTAAAGACGGCTAGGACCTCGTCCTATGATTATTGATAGAAGGTTGAATTTGAAGGCATTCCTTCTTATTATTCTTCTTGCAAAATCTTTAGGCATAACTACTATGAATATTTCAAGTCTCATTCATAACATAGGAAACCAAAGTTCCAATCAATGGGCACATGAAAACGATTAGATCCTACCTTCAAACATGACGAGTCTAAATCCTACTATTTCAGATCAAATTTGCACTCATAATTATAAACTAACTTTAAAACTTCTCACCTTCCTCTGAAATCAGAGCCTTGTGCCTACCATTACTAAACCCAAGGATATGGTCAGCATATATTCAAACATGAAAACTGATCCAAATAATCATATTATATTAGACCCTCGTCTTCTTCCTATTATTGAAGAGATGATGATCATAATTTATAGGAGGCTTTGAATAACAACAGCAAATCAAACTAAACCGCTCATGGGAAATCCAGCTAAGAAAGTAAAAGAACTCTCCTATGAATATTCAGCTAAAATAATAAAGTTAAATTTATGCTTCCACAATCCCATCAAAAAGCACTTCATGGATTATAATGTCGCTTCCCAAGCAAATAAACAAAATCAAATAAATGAAATCGTACCAAGTTTCCAAACATCGACATTTGCCTTCTCTCACCAACAAACGACCTGACCTACAGGTGACAAAATAGCGATTCCGTGATCAATTTGAATTAAATAATTCAGTTAAGGGAAAACCATTAAGTGGTCACAATGCATAGACAGCATCAAAAGCATGTGCTAACTCACAGTACGGATTGCTGAAAACGTTTCAGTTGCACAGCCAGAAATACTTGCTTCAATCATTCCATGGGATTGGAAGACGGGCAGGGTTGACCTCTTAAATATAGCTAGAAAATCAATAAATTCAACCACAATGGAGATTCAATAGAAAGGACAACTTACAATAAGATATATAAGATAATTACATAAAAAATGGAAATCAATCATATGCAATTATCAAACCTATTTTCTCATCACTGCCTATCACACTACTCTAATTTTGGGATATTCATATACTAAAGAGCAAATAACCAAAAAAAAGAAAGGTTTTCTGGAAAGAGGACCAAAACAGCATAGTAAACTACAAGCGTTAATGTTTGAGATAAGATACTACAGCTCTAGAACTAATGATATAGCGTACAAGTCATTATGCATCCCATTCTTTGATGACTATTTCTAAATATAAATATGTTTGGTAATTGTCCAATTGTCCATCTAAAAAATCCTGTTTCGTTTTATAGTCAAGTTGACTGGGACATAACTTATGTCAATGCCATAATAAGCCAATGCATTCACACAAACTATGTTTAAAGAACTCCAAAATCTGCTCCTTAAAGAGGCATAAGCTAATAGAAATACCTTAAATCTTTTGCCATAACAAGAAGAGCTATAGATTCATGATGCCATAGAGAGAGAGAGAGAGAGAGAGAGAGATCATTCCTCTCCTTTATTATTGATAATTGCAGCATGCTTTGAAAGAAGATTGAATGATATCCTTGGATTTATGCCATGAGAGCAATACTGTCATTCATATCACTTTGGCTTTGTTTGGGAAAGCTTTTTTACTGCTTATTGAAGCAACTTTTTAGTACAAAAATTTAAATTTTTATACTAAAAAACTGCTTAAAGAAGCAGTAAAAAAGCCGTCCCAAACGAAGTCTTTGACACATATTATATAATGTAAGCATTTGAACAAAGATGAGATAAACCATTACCTACTATAATAGACACAGACATCATCAGCAGCCCTAGGACAGGAGCAAGCTCTGTTGACAGTGAGAATAGTATACATATTGTACCAAAAATCTGCATGGGTGGACAAAGTGCCAATTATGATGATGAAAACAAATAAAGATGGTGACACAAAAATTAAACTTTCTTTCCCTTTCATTTAAATGTGGGATATAGTGCATGCACATGGGAGTGTGTGCATGTGTTTCTGTGGTGGGGGTTGTTGAGGAGAGGATGGTCTGAGGAAAAGAAGAGCATGCTAACTTAATAAGAAAGAAATGTTGGAGACAAGAATACAATGGATCTCACTCTTATGAACTAAACCTGCACTTGTCAAACTGTTGGCAACACATCAAGCTCACATGTTCAATGATATAAATTAGCTTGCCTCAGAGAATGCCCGAAGGCCTCGATCCCTTGATATGTTTTCACTAACAACTTCTTTTAGAGAACCCAAGTCAGATGTCAACAACCCTGTCAATTCACCAACCTGTCCAACATTACAAAAATACAAATGATGTAACCAGCTACAATCAACTTGTGGAACAACATTACGCATATTGTCTAAAATCAATATGAATAGCTATATCTAACTTTAAGAAAAAATGAACTGCCGCAAGCATATGTTGGCAAAGTCGTTAGATATCACACATGTATGGACTAGAAGATACAGTTTATCCTTTAACATGAGCATGAAGTCCGTCAAAGTTGATTTAGTTTCAGCATGAATCAAGGAAACAATTGGCAAACAGATATAAAACCCATGTTGATAAATAAAATACTAAGAAACGCAGAAAAAAGTTTGTAAGGCATGCTTCAATGTACCTAAAACACTTCCATGTGTTATTCATTCTTGTGACTCCATCAAATCTTTGTTGACATGCTTTTCATGTCAACTCAGTCCGGTTCGAGTCGATTCGAGCCCGATTTGGCTCGATCGCGCTCGATCGGCCATCGAGCGTCAATTAATCTAAATCGGACCCTAATTTGCTGAAATTAAATTTAATTTCATCATATTAAAGCCAATTTGATCAAATCGACCCAACATCAGTCGAACTCGCCATCATCATTGATCTTATCCCAACTATTTTGTATAAAATAACAATAAACCTGGCATTTGAAAAGAGAATTTATTGAGTTAAAACAGTTCAGCGAGTATGCTTAAATATCCAAATCAATTGTAATGCATCATAGTAGAAATTAGAGGTCACAAATAATCATTGGACTAACCTATTAAACATAACTTCTAAAGAAGCATCAAGAAAAATAGGCAACACATAACTTCAATGATGGACATTATTTCAAAAGGTTAGTTCCACTCATAATAAGAAACTTCTATACAAAATATATGCCGTATAAAAAACCAGCTCTAAAAAAGGTGGTTTGAGTTTTTCATCAGATCCGCACCAAAAATTGAGGAAACCAAGGTTGAACAAAGAAAAACTTAATCATACCTTATACTGGTCGAAAAACTCCACCTGAAAGAGAAGGGAAATGGAGAAAACAAATGAATAAAAAGAAAAGTGTGTTAAGAAAAAATTAGAAAAAAATGCAAAAGAAAGAAAAAAGAAGTTTAACTACAGAACTAGATTCTTCACATGACCTTGCTGCTCAGAATATTTATACATACAAAAACTATGTCAATTTACATTTACTTGAATTAAATTTCATGATATCCTTCATGCTTAATTTTCCATTATAAACGGAGCTAATGTCGTTACTGTCTTTGTTCTCAAGTTATATATATAAGAACCTTTGGAAAGCTCTCCTTGAAGCAGCATTTTTTGAATATATTGATTATTATATACTCTATGCCATATTTCTGTCTCACTTAGTGTTTCACACATGGAGGAAGAAATAAAAAGGGTTTCTCTTCTCTAGATGGCTATTTCCTATTTTTCCAGAAAAATTAGTATCTCCTCATATTTATATACCTGAGTAACGTCCCGGCCCACTTTTGAACTTGTCAATCAACATCTTTAAAAAAGTATAAATATAGCTTTCGATGAAAAAATATAGATGCAAATATCAATTTAAGAGCTGGAGAAAGATATATATATATATATATATGGCAAAAATTTTCACTGAAAATAGTTCAACTACGAAACAACTACAAAAATATGAGTTTGCAAGCAAATATACTGCAGCAATGTTGAATACATCTACCTTTTGGATCAGCATCCTTTTAAAGATTTGACCCCGAAGGCTTGCCATCACCTTTTCCCACATAATTGTCATGTTTATAACAAATACAACAGTAAAAATTGGTTCCAAAATATACAAAGTAGCAATTCTAGAGACAAGATTCCAAAAGGTCCCTGTTCCTCGCCCTATGAGCACTTCATAGAACTTTCCTGCAAAAATTCGACACATAAACAAGTCTCAAATGAAGACATATTGCCTGTAATGAACCTAGTTAATAAAATTCTATGAACGATAAGTGAAAAATGAAAAGATTTAATATATATGATGTTAAAACATATAGCAGCGACTAGATAGAAAAGGACTAAAACATTAACATGTCCAGAAAAGAAATTAGAACATAAGAATGCCATAAACATTTTAGTTGTTGCTATGCATTTCAGTATGACAGAAGCACCAAGCTGCTCTACCTTTCTGCTGACAAGCACATATGGCGGAAAAAACCTCTTGATCTTTCTTTGTACGTGTTTCATTTTTTGTAAAGTTTAACAAGTGCATTTACCACTTGAAATTGAATTAACAGCTTTCTTAAATATGTTATCCAACTTAGAACTCAATGGAACTCAATGGCAGAACAGAAACAAAGCCCTACTGTAAACAAGAAAGAAATGAAAGTTCAAAAATAAATGGAAAAGCATTTTCGTTACTTTCAGCGTCTCGTTTTACAATATATCTACAGCTTTCCCCACAATACAAACATGGCAATTTGACATTAAAAAGAATAGATTTGAGCATGTGGCTCCTACTAATCCAAGGGTCTTGGGAAGGTGTGATGGATAGAATCAAAACTTAACGTAAAGTTCTGTCTTGTAAGAAAGATTCTATCCTGAAACCTCTATCTATAATGAACATACACACCCAGTGAAAGAACTTACCATGTTGGTGGTAACAAAAGACTCTTATTCTAAGCTCAATCAAGTTTTAAAAAAAAAATTATCATGATAAAAACTCAAGCTTAATCCAGCCAACTTTTCAAATCAGTCAAGACTAGGAATTTCAGATTAAAAAAGTCCAGTTTTCAATGGATTCGTATGATGGAAGTAGGAGAACGTGAGCATTCTCATGAGCTGGCAGCAGCATTCTGACTCTACAAAGTAGTTTTACACTACAAAGTAGTTTTACAACTTAATTTGCTTAAATTCCTGAAACAATTTACTGAATAAACTTTAATACGATTTTAGACCACATAATGATGGCACATACACCAATTTCCTGAAAGAAAATTGTAGGTGACAGCAACATTTTTCCAACATCACTTGCCAGAGAACCTACAAAGGCAGATAACCTACAAAGGCATTTATCATACTTGTTAGTGTTATACTTGACTTAATATGGTTCACTAGAATATTCGTTAATTGATCAGGATTGGATCATAGCATGCTTATCAATAATGAATAGCGAACCTAAGTGCAAAAATCCTATGTAATCGCATTGCGCACTATTTTACAAATAACAAGAAATACTATAAAATAATGAATCATTAAAAATTTAGTAATATAAGAAAAAATACTTATTATTGCTTTAACATGTTAAATATGTGCATAAAGAGCCCATAAAAAATTACCAGCATCATATAAAATGCTCAATATTATCATAGGAGTTCATGACATTATCCAATTCCTGTGAGAACCAATAATTTTTGGGAATAGCGAGGTGAAGCAATATATGTTGGAAATAGTTTCAATCAACTTGAGACAGACATGCCTATTATTAATTATGGACCTGAAGAAACTAACTGAAATCATATCAATCTAAAATTAAAAAGTCTTGATCCACAACTTAACCTTTAGAAGTCATCCTTCTATAGGTACATGCATTCAAGAGTTTAGTTTTAATAGTAAATGGCAAGCATACACCAAAATCATGAACAAAGTTTTGAGGTGAAAGGAAAGAAGTGGATGAATAAATATCAGACCATTTATGATTATGTTAAATTCAGAGAATGAGAGAGGGAAAATGATGTGGACATCGATCAGAGGTTCAAGCATGTCTATCGCCGGAGACAGCGCAGATCGATGGCTACGATTCAGAGTCTTTACCTTTGATGTATTTTAAGTTTTATTTAGTTGGCATTTTCATTTCCTAGTTTACCCCTATGTGGAGTGTTGTCTTATTATAGCCCAAAGGGCATTTGAGTACTTTTATTTCTTTATGTTTGAAGACCTATTTATAGGGGTCTCATGCTTTGTAAAAGACTAATGAATATTTGAATGAAAAATTTGTGTTTGTTTCTACTTCTTCTTGCATGAGAGCTTGAGAAGGGAGAGAGCTCAAGGGGAGCAAATCGAAAGGCCCACCAGTCGTTGGAAGAGTCCTCGGCTCGTGGTTAAGTTCTTCTATCTCCTTCCCCTCCACCACAAGAAATCCCTTCTAAACCCTTATTGCCGCCGCCCCTTGGGAGCCCGCCGCAGACCACTTCCATGGCCCCCGGCCGACCACCTTGCCGACGACTTCCCTACCCGTTCTACCCCATCTCTAAACAAGTTTCAAATTTGAAATTTGAAATTTGAAATTCAAATTTCAAATTCTTTCATAATTTGGAATTCCAATTTAGGAAAGTTTTCATGATGAATTTCAATTTCAAGTTAATTTAAATTGGGGTCATTAAACATATTTCCACCTTATCACCCCCAAATTGGAAACTCCCTTCACACCAATCCCCTCTCTCCCTCTTAGCATACCGTCGGCCTCATCCTTGGTGGAGCCCCATTAATGCCTTCATTAAGGCATTGATGACACTTAAGTTTGAAATCAATTTCAAATAACTTTTCCCTCCTAATTCCTTCAAAACCTGAAATTAATTTCAGGTTTTAACATTACTCTCGCTCCTCTCCCTCTCTCAAACCGCCGGCCCCATTAATGGGCTTTCTCCTTGTTGTTTCCAACTCTAGCCCCCAACCCAATTTGAATTCAAATTCAAGTCTTAATTGGCTTCCCTCCAAACACAATTAAATCTGAAATTTATTTCAGATTTATTGGGAGACTTATTGGGATTGAATTCGAAAACCCTATCCCACCCCTCATTGAACCCGCCGCCCCCTTCCCCTTTGGAAATCCCGCACCCCCTCTCCTTGAGATTCCCGCCGGCCTCATCTCCTCCTCTCCCACCTTATCAACTACAAGTGTTCTCTCTCACCACACCACGATCTTCCTCTCTTCTCGAGAAAGATTCTCCTACGTCAAGCATGCATGGCGGATCCCGAGTTTGAGTGGGGATCAGTATTCAACGCCGACGGAAACCTTAATATCCTATGATCCCCCTTCTTTGACGTGGGATTCGAAGACGACGCTACCGTTGGAGATTATTTGGATCGAGTGGTTCCTACCCTTGCTAGCGTCATCGACCGCCAACGTCCAAGCTACGATTGGAGCATCGACAGTCGAGCATTCACGCCATCCTCGTCACCGTCAACCTCTCCGTGGATCAAGGCCATTGGTGTTGCTACCGTCTTAGTGGCATCGTTGAGTTTGCTAAAGACCTTCTCCCGCTAAGCCCGACTTGAGTGTGAGTGAGCAAGGTAACTCGTTGTGAATTTTCTAGACATTAACCGTGGGATTCTATTATTTTCTGCATTTGCTTTATTGTGATACTTTTGGAGATCTATCATTAATTGTGTCTAAACAACAAGTTTGTAATTGCTTATCATAATATGTTGACAAAGGAAAATTCTTGAACCTTAACCTACGATACTCTAATCTTATACTGGTATACTTTGTGAATCTTAATGAATTTCATGTGCAATTCTTGGACGTATCACATCAGAAAAGGCTTGATTTTATTGCATAAAGCTCTCCTTATTTATAGATCTATACAAGATATCTTAATAAGAAAATAAATAATTACATAATATTGCATCATTGTACTAATATAATCCTTCCTAAATCAGCCACCCAAATATGTAAGGAGATTGATGTGATCCAGGTGAGCCTCCCACGGATCTTCATGCTGGCCATGGGATCAATAGGGAAGGGATGGCTGGGATGATATTTGACACTCCCCCTCAAGCTGAGGAATACAGATCTATTATTCACAGCTTGATAATCAGTCCCAAAAAGACAGAGTTATCAAGTCCCTTGGTAAGAATATTTGCAAGCTGATCTTTTGATGAGACATGGTAAATACGGATAAGTCTACTATCCAATTTCTCCTTTATGAAATGTTTATCCACTTCTATGTGCTCAGTCCTATCATGCTAAACTAGATTGTGAGGTATGTTGATTGTTGATTTGTTGTCACAATGTAGCTTCATGGGTCATTCCCATTTGATCATTAGGTCATCTAAAATCATCTTGATTCATAGTAGCTTACATATACCTAAGGTCATAGCTCTGAACTTTGCCTCTGCACTAGACCTTCTCACCACATTATGTTTTTTGCTCCTCCATGTAATTAGGTTTTTTTCCAAAAAATGTGCAGTATCCTGAGTGGGTCACTTTAATTCCTAGGAGATATTTCAATCTACCAAGCCCTTTGATCTAAAATTCTTTGGCAAGATATTTTTTAGAATCACTTCTAATTTTCATCATTCCCAGTCAAGATAATATCATCCATATAAACTAACAAAATTGTGACTCCTCCTAAGGCTGAGTGCTTGAAGAATAGTGTGCGGTCCCTTTGGCTCTGTCAATATCCATTGAGTAGCATGACATTTGAGAATCTTTCAAACCAAGCTCTAGGTGATTGTTTAGCCTATATCATTATTTAAAATTGTGCAACGAGAGACATGCCTTAGCGCAATTCTATCCTGTAGCGTGTTAAGGCGAACGCTTAGAACACAAATCATGATGCATACACCTCAAATATACAAAGGCGTGTCTCGCCTTATAGATTGAGGCGTTCACCTCGAAATATAATGTAAATAAAGTTATTAAAACTTAAAACTAATATCGAGTATCTCATTTTGTTCCTGTTGTTCGACTTTGTCTACTGCACCACCCGTAAGGTAGAGTTTTGAGCGAGTTGCTAAAAGCTTCTTCACCTTCAACGACATTCCATGGTCGATCGAAAGTCAGGATAGGTCGACAACATGCCCTGTTGGATCAAAAGTCAGGAATGTTCGACATCGTTCTTCCTGTTGGATCAAAAGTTACAAAGATGGGAGTTTGTTCGCTACAACAGTAGGCATTCTTCTCCGCTTAAACGTGCTTAATC